CTCTTCGCCGCGCGTACACCTTTTCCGCGAAAAGGAATGGAAACACTTCAGTCGCGCACCGCGCTTACATGTCTCGTCATTGCCCGCCGGTGTAACGTTTCTAAGGCAAACGCACGGCCGTCACATCTATCCACCTATGGTACTCTTCCCCTCACCCTCCCCGGCGCTGGTTTTGCGCCCATGCCGTACATGCGCACGCCACACCACTCTGTGATGCCTCAGCGTTGAGTCGTCGCCGTCACCGGTCTTGCCTGTGGTAGATTTATCGAAAATATCTTCTGTAGACGAAAGCCACGATTTTCTGGCGTAACCNCCCCGGCGCTGGTTTTGCGCCCATGCCGTACATGCGCACGCCACACCACTCTGTGATGCCTCAGCGTTGAGTCGTCGCCGTCACCGGTCTTGCCTGTGGTAGATTTATCGAAAATATCTTCTGTAGACGAAAGCCACGATTTTCTGGCGTAACCGGCTGCCCGTTCTCTACATGGACCCTACAGCACAATATAGAACGCACACCGCCGTTTTATTATTTCAATTCAGAACAAAATAACACTACGACGGCCACGACCGCGTGGATGACGGCCTCCCACGCGATCAATGTCTGCACGACCACCCAGTCAGTCCTTCTGGAAGGACAGCCTCCGCCCGAGCGCCACAAGGAAGACCGCGTGCAACCCGTTACGGCCTCGTCGGTGAATACCGAAACAAATGGGCGCAGGTAAGCTTTCTTCCTGTGCTCCGATTCCTTTTCTCTCTCTGCGTCGCTTTTGCGGCTGGGCGTGTGTGGCTATCGTTCCATATTTTTTGTTCGGTCTTGCGCGCATTCGTTCGCGGTTTTCACTTACCCTCTGTATACCTGCCTCTCATCTGCTGGCTACACATCTTGCACCTTGTCCTCCTTTTTGCTTTTCCTGTTCTTTCAGATCGTGCGAGAGAAGCCCGCCATGGCCAACATCATGAAGGACGTCCCGAGATCCGACACTCAGCCCGTCGCCCACGCGCGCCTTCTCATCTGCCTGTTCGTCCCATTCTTCACGTTGGACGACCTCAAGCGTGCGGACGAAACTTGGCCGGATGCCCTACGGAGGGCAGATGACAAGAATCGGTGGGATCCCGGAACCTACCCCTTCCGCCTCAACATTCAAGGGATGCTTGCTCAGAAGTTAGCCGCTGCGGAGGAGACCGCCAAGAGACACGCCGAACGTCAACTTCTCTCCGAAAAGACGCATGCTCTAGGCGATAACATGGCGGGAGACGTTCTTCTCGACTCCTACGGTGGTGAAGACGAGCCTGGAGAGAGTGTCATCCCTGCCACCGTTCGACGAATGCTCACGGACCTCTTCGTCAACGACGCCTTCCGGACTTTCGTTGCAGCCGGCTTCAACGGGGACGGTTCCACTCGAGATGCTTCGTCCCCTCTCCTCAGCGGACGGTCAATGGAAGACACCTGCTTGGATATTTCCTTTGTTCGTGGCGGCACCGATTTGGAGGCGGCAACGGCGTCCATGTCACGCCAGGAGAACGAACTGGAGAACAAATCATCGTCCTCTGCATCGGCTTTGGCTGGGTCTGACTCAAATCGCACCCCCGCCGCATCCTCTTCCAGCTTTGGCGTGCCAAATGAGGACCCTCTCGGACCCTGCATCATGGAGTTGCGCAAGGCCTCTCAGGACGGGTTATCTCCGGAAGCATGCCGAGCCCGTGACGAGCGTCGGGATCGCACCAACGCAGAGGTCGCTGGCACAGACATTGGGGCCGTAGCAGCTTTGCAGCACGTCGCGGCTTTCACCATCGCTCAGGAGTTCGGTCTCAACAGAAAGCAACGACAGGCCTTCTACATCTTCGCCAACGGCCTTCTCTCACAATTCCGGCCTGATCCGCCTCCGGCCCTTCGTCTTTACATCGGTGGAGGGGCGGGCACGGGCAAAACACACGTATTGCGCGCTATTCGGGCCTTCGTCGACTCTCCCCCCGTTAAGCGCCTTCTTCCGAGAGCTCGTCTACTCTGTGTGGCCTTTCAGGGCAAGCAAGCCGCTGCCGTCGGGGGAACAACCGTGCATTCCGTCTGTCCCAACACCGGCGACAGCTACGGATGCCTCTCCGGTGCTCACGAAGGCCAGTCGACGCTGCCTGCAAGCGAAGCTGCTCACTGGCAGCGGGACGTCATCCTTGCCATCGAGGAGAGTAGCATGATCAGCTGCAACCTTCTCGTGCGTCTGCACAACACTGCGTGTTCCATGTTCCCACTGCACAAGGGACAGCAGCCCTTCGGCAACAGAGTGGTGGTCATGCTCGGAGATTTCAATCAGCTAAGGTCAGCACATCTACTTGCACGAACATTTATATGCTTTTAGGTTATCAAATACCGCCCTTTGCCAACCACCTCGCTCGTCTTTCCTTTTCTTAGGCCCACAGATCTCTAGCACACGCGCTCACGTTTGTCTTCTTTTTTCCCTTCCTCTTCTCGTTTTCCGCTTGTCTTAGGCCCATCAAAGCCAGGTCTTTAGCACACTTGACTGCCCTCCAAGAACGGCGTCTCGGCATGACCGTCACGGAGCGTTACGGTTCCGACCTTTTCCGCATGGCGAACGCGTGCGTTATGCTCGATGAATCCAACCGCTTCTCGCCAACCTACGCCCCAGTGATGGAGCGGTGTTTGTACTCCAAGTGCACCGAAGATGACGTCAGACTCCTCAACACCTGCGTCATGGGGGCTTCCACCACCCGCAACGCCACTTCTGCATTCGACGCAAGCATCATCACCTTCAGGAACAAGGAATAGTACTTTCCCTCACCTACTCGCTTCGGCACGCTGACTTTATCTCGACATCATCATCTTCTCAACCACAATTTCCTCGTGTCCTTATGCCTCTTCTTCTTGTCCTTGTCTTCTTCTAGGTCAGCACCATCTTGACGGCGCCGATGATGCGTACTTTGTGCCAAACTAGAGGAACTCCGCTATTCGTCGCCCGTGCGCACGACGTTTACGTCAAGCACCAGCGCCCTGGCTACGCGTAAGATGTGAGTTTCTCCCGCCCGCAATCTCGCCGATGTGGCAAATCTGCAACACCGGCAAACCCTAATATCCCCTTTCTTCGCATTTTCTTCCGGCAGGAACCAATGCGCCTTCGCCTATCCCCTTCCTTCACCTTTTCTTCCCGCAGAAACCCGCCACCAATGCGCCTTGGCCTACTGGCCTACGTGAGGAAATAAACTCCCTCGACGACGCCAATACCAAGGACTTGCCCACCCTCGCCTTCCTTGCGGTCGGTGCCCCCGTCGTCGTCCACAAGAGGCCGCAGTTTGTCCTGCTAGGTGTTTGCAACAACTCCGATGGAATCATCCGCGGCATCGAGCTCGATCCCCTTGAGGACTTCCTACTCGACCCTACACCTGGGTACTCCGTCGTCAACTTACGGTATGCGCCTCTTCAAGTATTCGTCTACATCAAGACCGCTGACGACGCTGGACTGCACTTGGAAGGCTTGGATCGCGGTGTCGTGGCCATCGCTCCTGTCGAGAAAGAGTGTACCATCGAAGGCATCGGCAAGGGGAAATTCATCTTCAAAAGGCGGCAACTTCCGTTACCGGCGGGATGCGTATCATCTGTCTTCCGTAGCCAGGGACAAACAATGCCAAAGATAATCCTCGACATCCATCCTCCTCCGGGGACGGCCATGAAAGGTGGATCCACCTCGACATTTATTTGTTTCCGGTTTGTCTCGCGATTACCTCGCGCTAGTCTCGCCTTGCCCTACGCATTTTTTTCTTCATAACAGTCTACCATTCTAACGCCTATATTCCTCCCGCCGTCAATTCTTCGCCAGTCTGCCGCTCGACAGGCCGTCATGACATCCTCCACGGTACGCCCATCATCGGCGCCGGCTGTGACATGGGTAATGTCGCCGGCGTCTTTGAGGCGATCGCGCGTGCTTGCCCACAAGAGGGTTCTCCTTTATGGCCGGACTGTGTCTTCGCCCAGCAAGCTCGTGTAGCGCGGACACGCAGAGACTAAGGCCTCGATTGGAGGTATGCAAACAACTGCCCCATCGGTAACCACAGCGCGCGCGAGGTCACCCCGGATCAATCCGCCAGGCTACGGGGCGCCACCGTCATCACCATCCCCAGCGGAGTTTCGGCCACTTTCCCAGACAACGTGTTCAACTTCTTCCGCTCCTCGGCCCCTACCGACTTGGCCATCCCAGGCCAGTCTTTGTGCCCCTACTGTGCCGAAAGCGTTCACGAAAACAGGTGCGACTGGACTCTACTTCCATGGACGCCCAATACCGCGCCGGACAGGATCTTCTTTCGGTCTTCGTGCGTCTTTCGAGTTCTCCACGGGCGCCCCATGTCTCCGTCCGTGACCTTCACCATGGGAGCCACCTATTCTCTAGTCGGAGTTTCGTATTTTCTTGCGCTTGGGGGTGGCCCTAACAGGAACCACTTCGTCTCTCAAGTTCGGATTCGTGGCCGGTGGCACAAGTATGACTGTTTACAAGGGGGCATAGTCACCTCTTCGGACGCGTACGACAGTGGATGACACGTTTCTTCTGTTCACATGCTGGTGTATCTGAGATCTTCCATCTGCGTAGCCACGCCTCCGGCTTACGCGCCATCTTCTGTTACGACTAGAAGTAACGTTGGAAGGAACGCCTGCCGAGTACAAAGTGAGCCCACCAGCCCTTCAGGCCGCATGGGGTAGCACAGGAGTAGCTGCTGCCTAGTTGTATATAGCGGGTTCATGAGCGCCTCAACGCCGCTCTCCGTTTTTTTTGCGTTTGAGGCTTTTTTTGCGTTCGGTTTCGCCGGGTCTTCCGTGCCTTTGCTTTGTCTCTTTCCTCTCTTTCTCGCGTGGGTTTCCACAGGCCGCTTCTGTACAAAAATGTTAGTCAATACATCAAATAATTTAGACTATTCGCTCCACAATTCGTGCCGTCTCTTTGGATCGCTCGTAAACGCGCCATCCACGTCGCACCTACACGAGCAAAACATCCGGGCTTGGGACTAGCAACGCCGACGATACTCGTCGGATTGCTTTAACAATCAATCTATATCTATCTGACCTCCCCGCGACGCCCCCTCAACATCTCAAACTCAACATTTGGCCTTGACCTCGTACTTGGTACCTCTTGGGAGGGATTGGACACACTTTCTCTTGTGGGCAGGGCCACCGCGCCCTCCAAATCAGCTGCTGTTGCCTTTCACACTTGTTTTCCAGCCCCGAGTTGTTGACCGGGTGAAATGTCACGAGTCCAATCACCGAGGGCTTCGAGAGTGGAATGCCACCACACCAGTCTAATCGCCGAAAGGCGAGGGAGCTGTTTTGGAAAAACAAGTATACCCACGGAAAGACTACCCATTCAAGATATGCACACAGTCGAACGGGATGTGTTGAACGCTGTGTAACTGCCTCGAGGGTACTTGATTTTTTTCAGTGAGCTTTTTTGCTGCGGCCTGCTGGCGGCTGCGCCTCCTTCTGCTTGCTCTTCGACGAGCACGACGATCCCACCGCCGCTAACAACTCCGCCACGGCTCCCTCTCCCCTCCCGCGAGACGATGACAACCTTCCACCGCCGCCCTTCTCGTAATTGTCCTTCGCAGCGGCCCCCCTCTGCCTCGCCGCCGCCGCTGCTGCAGCCACAACCACCGCTGGCGATTTTCGAGGCATTTTCCCCACCCCGTCGCCGCCGGTCGCCATCAAACGCGCCCGCTTGCTCGTGCTGTTACTGGTTGCTGCGTCAGACCCTTCCTCTGCGGACCTTGATGATCCTCCTGCGGAGTTCCCTCTCGGCTTTGGCGGATACTGCTGGCTTCTTCTTGTTGCTTCCCCAGGCCGCCCGTGCATTTTCGGGACCTGCTGCTGGTGCTGGTCGTCCCTGTGCTTGGCGCCGGGCCTCGCGATAGGAGCACTCTTGCTGCTGCCGCTGATGCTTCCTCCTCCTCCTGCAGCGCTCTTGCCATTACTACTCACCCCTGCTTCGCCGGCACGGTTCGCGACATTCCGTACGCCTTGATCAGCCCCTTCACGCTTGCTACTACCGCTTACTCTATGCTTTTCCCCGTTTCGACTATCCATGGGACGTTTCGTCTTCTGGGTGTCGTCCCCCTCCCCATTGCGTACGTCTTGCTTGGTTCGGCGGTCGTAGCGGTGACAGCCCCGCGGGCTTTTGAGCTTGCCTCCTGATGAGGCGGCACCGTCACACCGCCTAGCTACCAGGGCCGCGTAGTCCGCCCTGTGAGGCCACGACGCAGAGCGCGTGCGTGGGGGGGGGGG